TGGGTTTTCCAATCATTTGATTTTTCATGTCAAACATAATAGCAGAATCAGTTTGAAGGTGTACTTGTATGGAATGGTGATTTGTCATAATTTAAGTTTTCATTTTTCGTAGCATGCATAGTGGACCTTGAGATTTGAGGACATGTCACTCCAACAAGTATTATTATTTATGTGAACTTCCTAAGAGTATTAACCAGATTAAAATCATATTGGCACAACTAGATGATGGTTTGGAGCTGTCTTTCACTGACAAAAGGCGATTTGCTAAAGTTCGCTTGCTTAAAGATGTATTGTGACCCTACTTTCCAATTGTCATTCATATCTATTTTTTATAAAAAAAAGTTTGCTATTAACTATATATATATATATATATATATATATCTATATATATATATATTTTCTTGATACAGCCGACGTCAGTGCCTCCCATATTGAGCTTGGTCCTGATGAACTTTCAGAACCTATGACACTTAAGGAGTTTACTGAGTCTTTGCACAAGAAGAAAACTGAAATCAAGTCTTTATTACTTGACCAAGTATTAATTGGTTTCCTTTATCACTTCCCAAAGATTATAGTTTACTCATCTTTGTTTGTTTATTATTAGGATATCATCCTTTTACTATATAATTGTTTTCCTTGTTTTTGCTTTTACATTGGTGGGGGCTTTAGTTATGAGAGTATGTCTTTTTCACTTGAGAAATCAAAATATGGTGTTCTTTTCTCAAAACTTCATTTGGTACCTTAACATTTACTTTCTGATAAATTGAGCTTGAGTAGAAGACAGTATTCTACTGATGAGGCAAATGGAACAAGAAACATAATAAAAAATGTAGTTCATTACGTAATTGCTTGCAAGCATGAAGTGAATTCTGTTTAGATGGATAACTTTTACTAACTTATTATGCAATTAAGTCTAGTTTTTTTTCTCCTCCCTTTAATGCATTGCCCTGTACATTTGCAATTTCTTTATGTCTGTTAGATATATATCATCTTTCCCTTCTCGTGGTTTACAGTGCATAGGAATTTGACATTTTAAGTTTAACTTTTCGTTACAGTTGACTTCATCGTTACATGATGTAAAATATGAAAGATCTGAGTTTTCCAATCTTTGCAGAGCTATATTTCAGGTATTGGGAATTGGATTGCTGATGAAGTGCTATACCAAGTAAGTACATCCTTCATTTTCTCAATGATTTTGAATCTTTGATGTTTTCCAATTATGTTTATAATTGAAGATATCAGATTCTACGTGGCTTTAGAGTTTATATATGGCTGATTAAGCTTTAAGTTTTATTATTCATCTGAACTTAGTCTTTTAGCAACTTCAATATATGGCCATATAGTGGATAAATAAGGATGAGTCTTGATCATATATGAATTCAAGAAAAGACTAAAATACACGTCGGCTTTGTAAAGGACTAATACCATTTCCTTGGTTATATTACCTTTACCAGTTAATGAATATGCTCTTCACTACAAATCCGGTTTTATCTTGTCTTTCATGGATCCCTTACTCTATGCCGATGGAACAGATAGATACTCTATTCATGTCACCAAGACTGTGAATGGTCTGAAATCCAGTTAGAGAGGAAAATAAGGCATAATTTCATTTTAGTAGAAATATGTTGGAACTTCGAAATGATGCTTATTAGTGTCTTTTAGTCTTATTATTATGAAGGTTCCTTTTTAGTTATATCTATCATGGTACAATTTTGAGGAGACACTTCTGTCCAACTAGTCAATGTTGCTGCTTAGATATTTAATAAAGTAATGTGCAGTGACCGTCACCTTCTTGGGGAACAATGATGTGCTGTAAGAATATAAAATGAAGTTTGAATTCAGACATGTGTTGTATACTTATTAGTTGGGTAGTGAAAACATCTACCTGTGTGATATAGAATTGAAATTGATGTAGATGAAATTAAGTTGATAACAAATATTGTAGTTTACTCAATTTTAATTTTTGCTTTTGCTTTGGTAGCTTGAAATATTTTGGAACTTGAATTTCACAGGATTTAGTATCTGCTCTAGCATCCTTGTGTTGCGAGTTCTTAATTAATTATCCTTCTAGTCTTGGATAGAAATTAAATTATAGAATTCACATAATACCTTATTATATTTCCCTTGTTTCCAGGCAAGAATTCATCCACGGAATATTGCATCTAGCCTGTCTGAAGAAAGCTGCTCAACTTTGTATAAGTGCATTAAAGAGGTGGGGACACTGATTTCTTTTAAGATGCTCATAGTTTATAGAACTTGTATACCTCAAAAAATATAGAGGATAAAACCTGTAGGTTATTCAATTTGCGGTTGAAGTCGATGCTGACTGTAGCTGTTTTCCTCTTGAATGGTTATTTCATTTTCGATGGGTAAAAAAGCCTGGAAAAATAAATGGTGAGCAATACTTCTCTAGTATGTATTTGTTGACAAATAGATTTATTTTACAGGTCATTGAAAAAGCAGTTGAAGTTGGAGCAGATAGTAGTCAATTTCCCACTAGTTGGATATTTCATTCACGTGAAAAAAAGCCCGGCAAGGCTTTTGTTGATGGTTTGCTCCCACACTTTGTGTAAAAAAATTCTTTTTAACATTATTTGGTGCAACATGACTGGTACCGCAATCTTTCTAAGGTTTTGCGCTGCTTACATTTTAATTTATGTGTAATTCCACTAAAAAAATTACAGTAAATTCAATAACTTGTTTTCTTGATTGGTTTGATTTACTATTTTTGAAATCAATGTGAAACTTTAAGCATCAAGAGTGTATCAATTCCAGGCTTGTTTTGCCATTTCTGATGAGATTGTGGATAGAAAGTTAAAGTTCTTGTATTTGACTTTATATTAAGGAATGATCCCATTATTAGTGAAGTTTTTGAGCATTCAACCGTGGAAAGAAATTTGCAATAAAGATATTATTTATTGATCACTTCAAATTTGAAAAATGAAAGTATAATGCATGCATCATTGAGGACTCCATTTTGAAACTCACAGGTTTCTTCTGGCAATTCAAGCTTTGTTACTGATTTTTTTATGCAAATTTTATTAAAAATTAAGTATACTGATCTCCAATTTTAGGGTTGTGAAATTGCAATGCTTTAAGGTGGGTTTCTGAAAGTGGGTGATATTGTCTTCTCTTATTTGTCTCACTGGTTGTTGTGTAGGATCGAACTAAAACGTGATGTATTTATCTATAATCAATTTCTTCGTACTTTTTTATTTACTCAGTTTCTTTTCTTCTGCTTAAATATTGGATGAAATGTACCCTGCTTCCATTCCAAGAATAATAAATGAAAAAATATATTTTATATTGCATGTCCGAACATTAATAAATTTTCATGTGATAGCAGGGAAAAAAATTGACTTCATCACTGCTGGTGGCAGGGTATGCCATTCTGAACATTGCCCTTAATTGTTTTTATTTTATTTTTTATTTTATCATATTTTATGTCTCTCTGATCTGCAAATGATGTTGCTCGTAGACTACTGCTTACGTGCCAGAGTTGCAAAAGCAAACTGGATCACAAGATGCAAAAGAAACTGGGAAGCCTAGGAGGCAAGCCTCAAAAAAGAAACTAAGTATAGATGATGATAACAACGATGACACTGAGAAACCAACAAACGGGGAAGAGGAGAATTTAGGAAGTCTCAAATCAAAAAAGAGAACAAATGCTGGAGCTGAAGGTAGGAAGCCTTCCAAAAAGAAAAAGTCTAAGGAAAGTGATGATGACAATGATGGTGATGCTGGTACTGATGACGATGTTGATAGTGATCAAGTTGAAAAGAAGAAACCAGGCCAGGCGACAAATAGTAAAAAAGCTAAGGGAGAAAAGCAATTAAAGAAAAGAGTTCCAAGCAGGCAAAGTAGTAGAAGTGCTGGAAGGAAAGCCAAGTAGCAACTATTCTGCAACTTAGGTTCTCTGCACTATGTTGTCTTTATGATCTGTTGGCTGTGCTAAAATCATGGCTACTATATAGTCATGTAATTTATACATGTTAACCAGAAAAATGGATGGTTGAATCCATTCAACTTTTGTAACTATTGTTAATACTCACGTCTTATGCGCAAGATATTTTTTTTGTTATGACTACATATGTAATTTCTTGGATTCTTACAGCCTGTGCGCATATGGAAGCACGACTAGATAAAGGCTTCCATCCGCAAAAATAGTATTTAAAAATTGAACAATGGACAATTAAAGTCTTAAATACTCTTTTATATAGTACATAATAATCCTAAAATGCAATTAAAATAAAAAATATATAAATTATAATATTGTCACTAAAAAAAATAAACTAAAAATGGAGTACACAGTTTAAGTTAATTCTAATTCTAAAGTACCCAATGTGTACTATAATTATGTATTCAAGAGTCAAGAGTAACATATAAGTGTGGATCCACTCAAGAGTCAGCAAGCACATTTGGCAAAGTAGTACTCGTTGTTAGTATAATGCATAATATATTGGTAACACAGATTGAGTGCTAAAATCAACATTTCCCAAAAGCACTTTCACTAGAAATATAAATAGGACAAAGCATAAAATGATTGTCAGAGACAATGTTATGTTGATTGTTATCTCACAGACATTCACTGACGAAAACAAATATTCTCCAAGCTACATTTTTGTATGGTTTGTTCTTTGAAAGATACGACAACTAGCAGCAGAGAATGGCTCATGTCCAGTGTTATCTGCAGGAGGAATGTCATCTACCTTTTCTCTGTTAGATGAAATTAACCTTGACCCAGATATTGCTTTGCAAATAAGAAAATCTTTTTGTACTAAGCACACCAACTCAGTGTAATATAACGAAGGTTTTTTATTGAATCTATGAATACAATTGATGTTTTGAATACAAAACAGCTTTGACAAAAGGATTAGAATAGAATCAATGCCATATTATAAACAATTAACAAATAAACTGTTAATCACAGAAATTATAGTTCCAAAATTTCAATACCAAAAAACTACTTGAGAATCTATCCTAAAAGAAGAAACCTATATCTAACAATCCACTTTCACAAGTGCATTAGAAACATCGATGGGTAATGATTTATCCTGGAACCAGTCCTTCGTACAAATAAGGGCCTCAAGAGTAAGGGAATCTAATGAACTCCTGTAGCTATCCATTTTTCTAATTTCTGTATCAAAAACAAAATTTGCAGAGAGAGTAGATGCCGATATAGACAAAATATCAGAAGCCATTCTAGACAATATTGGGTACTTCAATCCGTTTACTCTCCACCAGTTCAGAATATCAAATTTCTGTACAATGGGCTCTAGAGGCTCTTCCAGATACTCAGTCAATTCTGTCTTCCATTGCTGGTTACCTATTAAGTCAGATATATAAATGTCAAATTCAGAAAGTGCAGCTTCAATTGACCCTTCTTCAAATGACTCAGTCTTTATCATAGCCCCATTCCCTTCATCACCATTTGTCGCTGTATAAGGAAGCACTGGCTTGACATAATCATCGAATAGTCCATGAAGACCATCCCCAACAATTCTTATCCATGACTCAGCCTTGTCACCAAATAAGTGAACAAAGGTGGATTCCACAAGTTTCATTTTACACCTCGGATCCATGGCTACAGCAACTGCCAACATGAACCAGCTTTCCATCCAATATTGCTCAAACTTCTCTTTCAAAGGCATAATCAAACTACTGCATAAAGGATCCTGGCTGAAGGCTGCATTAGTCAACTCCACCAGAAGTTTTGACACTTGAGGGAAAAATAAGTTTGTAGTTGCGTATGGTTGGACAGTTAAAATGTTAGCCGCATCATACAAATACTTCAAATATACACAGAGAGTTTCTACCTGCTGCCAGTCATCCATTGTCAGAGTCATTCTGTAATCAGGATCAGAGGCATCAAAACAATCAAAGACTTGTTTTAACTCACAGGCAGCAACAAGCATACGGTAGACTGTGTCCCATTTGTTTTGGTCATCAATTGAAAGCTCCACCATACTAGGGATTTGAAGTTGTTATCTCAGCTCAAAGAACTTCTTTTCATGAGATTTCATGTACTTCACACTCTCACGAACTTTACCAATAGTTTCTCTCATTGCCCCCAACGCATCTAATGCAAGGCGACTAAGCACACGAGCATAACAGTTTTGGCTTAATAATTGGCCGCAGAGGATCGAAGGGCTCTTAAGAGAGAGGAGATCCCTCAGTTTTCTCATCAAAGCCTCATTGCCATTGGAGTAGAATTTATCAAGTGCAAGAGTAAATACCCGACCCTCCAAATGCCAGTCACTCAGGCAAGTTACTATGGTTTGATCTAAGGAACCATCAGAATCAGGAAATGGCACCATCACAACATTAAGAATGGGATGATGCAACTTCCAATCACCATCAATGAAGTGTCCCCGAAGAAAAACATAGACCGATGTCTGGTTTGAAGTCCATATGTCCAAGGTGAGGTTGACTCGCCCAGGAATCCCATCGATAAGATTCAACAACCTTTGCTTCCCTGTAAGATACATATCAACACAATCCTCTTGGACAGCATTAAAGCTCAGTGGATTGAAATTGGGTTGAAGTGCTCGCAACAAATCAATGAAACCTTGGTCTTCCACCATATGAAGTGAATAATCATGCAAAATAATCATTTTAGCAATCATATTCTTGCAGCTGTCCTGATCAAATGAGATAGTAGAAGAGTGAGGTTTTGTTCCCGTTTCTTTGGTAGATTAGCACCAGTTTTAGGACATGCGGTTTGTCGATTCTTCTGACAGAGGGAGACGTGTCTCTTGAGATGGCTGGTGCCAGATAGCCTTGAATCTTTCATGTGAGCAAATGATTTATTGCACTTATTACAATAAGCCCGGCCAAATCCAGGTTCATCCGTTTTCACAGTGAAGTGTTCCCACACATTAGATTTCTTTCTGCCACGCCTATTTTGTTTTGTTTCTGGTTCAGGTATACTCAACTCCATCATAGAACAACATATATAATCCTATAAAACAAAAAAGACTCAAACAATTAGAAGAGCCTAATTAAACACTGATTCAACCTGAACATACATTACCAATATATTAATTTTAATCATCTGAGGTAGAAATAGTATTATATAAATATCAAGGAAATGGAAAATAGATTGTTACAAAACAAAAAAAAGCTGGTGGTCCTTACTTTCAGAAAAAACGTGACAACTGAAAAGTCCACCAAGATAACCTACCCTTAACCAAATACAATTTTTTTTATAAACCAGGTGTATTCTCTATGGAAAATAATCTCATTCGGAGCGGGTTCATGATTAAAGCTTTAAACCCAAATTCAAAGATGGTAACCAAATACATTCTCATTTTGGCAAAAAGCCCAAAACTTTTATGTGCATATATATAGGAATGCAATGGTTACAATGTAGGCTAGGGTTTAGAAAAAAAAAAAGGCGGGAAACGATATAAACAAATTCAAGAACTCTTCAGTCTTCTTGAACTTGACTCAACCAGTAACAGTAGCATTGCATTTGATTGTTTTGAACAATAAAAAAAAGAAAACATTGAGAAATAAACACATGTATGTGTAAATATATATATATATATATATATATGCAAATTATAACCTATACAGAGAAAGAAACGAAAAAGAACCTTTGGGCAAAGCAAGAACGAGGGCGGCTTTGGAATAGAGAGATGATACGCAAAAGGGAGCCTCAGCCAGTGGTGGCAGCGGAGACGGTGGTGACAGCGGCGGTAGACGCTCTGACTCACTGAGTCTCACCAACGAAACGATTAAGCGTTGGAAGTTTAGAACGCTAATTATATAATAAAACTTGAGGCTGAAGCAAAACTAAAACCAAAATCTCAATTTAAGGATTGCAAATTGCATTAATAATAGAATGGTATTTGATGGCAATTTTAACGTCTGCTTTTTAAGAAGTACCAAAATCAAAATTTGTTTATCCTAATTATTTTGAAAAACAAACCATTAAAAACTTTCCGGATTTACAAGATCTTGGCGAAAAAAGTCCGAATTCTAATAGGATTATTATAGATTGATATGGGGGAAAATGGTGATAATATATTTTTATATAATTGTTATGTATATGAGGATGTTTTGAGTGATTAATATTAGGAATTAATTTGATTTATAAATAAAAGCTTTTATTCAAAAAGATTTGAAGAGGGAACTGATTCAATTTTGAGATTCTTTTAATTTAAAATCTATATTTTCAATCAAAAAAATTTGGTGCATAAAGTTCGCTTAAATTTGATTAGATTTAAGTAAATCTGATTTTATTTTAGCTTTGAATGCTTACGTCAGGTATCTTAAATATAAGATTTGATATTTAAAGTAATTCAATTTTTTTTAATCACGAATTCTAAGCATGGTGATCCATTTTTACATCAAATCAAATAAAAAGTTGATTCGAAACGCAACCAATTATATTTAACTTTATTTTAGAAAAAATCGATACATAAACAATCACAAGCATGAAACGGAAAACTAGGGAAATTGAAGCGAAAATGAAGGGCACTTACATAGTTTAGTGCCGTTGAGAAAGCCCTCCAAGGCTGAGAAGGGGGAAACTAAATAATATTTTTAAAGTATATCGCTTGTTATCAAAAAAAAAAAAAAGTATATCGCTGCATTTTATGCAATTAAGATAATAAATAGTCTTTTGAATTACCACATTTAACTTCAACTACGAAGTGTTTATTGAAATATTAAACGTATTAACTCAAACATTTGCCAACTCTACATGTACAAAAAGTTAGAGTTAGGTACCTCATATAGTGGTTAGTTAGACAGTAACGACCCTCCAGACCGAACCCATTTTGTCCTCTCTAACTGTCAACATTTTATATCAACACAGATTGTTAGACAATAAATATAAGAGGAAAAAAAACCTATTGGCGGGCTAACCCGCCCGTTTGGAAGGTGGGGTGGGTCGGCCTTCCGGTCCGAGCCCATTTTGTCATCTCTAACTATCAGCAATTTATATCAACATGTAATAAATGAAGAGTTGTCTCTAAATTGAATTTTCTGATGTGTATGTATTTGTGACATATATATTAGATGAAGAGTTGACAAATATTTGAGTTATTAAATTTAATATTCTAACATACACTTAACCACACAAAGACGGATTTCTTAGATAGTAAATATAAGAAGAAGAAAAATGTGTTGGCGGGCGGGCGGGGTGGGTTGGCCCTACAGGCCGAGACCAATTTGTTACCTCTAACTATCAATATTTTATGTCAGCATGTAAAGTTTTTTAGAAAAATATTTCTGCAATTAATGCAGATAAGTTATTTGCATTTATTTTCAAAACGACGTCGTTTTGGGATTTAAAGATTAAAAAATTATAATTATAAAGACTATATTAACCCTAAAATAAATTAAAATTACAAAAATACCATAATTTCCTCTCTAAAATGACGTCGTATTGGGCTTACAGCAGATAACTTATCTGCAGTATCTACAGAAAAAACGAACCCAAAGTTTTTATATTTAAAACTAGGGAAAAATGTTTATGCAGTTAATGCAGAGAAGTTATCTGCATTTATCCCTAAAACGACGTCGTTTTGATATTGAAATCTTAAAAAATTATAAATATAAAGACTATTATAACCCTAAAATAAATTAAAATAAAAACACCATGATTTCTGTCCCAAAACGACGTTGTATTGGCTTACTGCAGATAATTTATCTGCAGTAACTGCAGAAAAAAGCGAACCCTTAAACATAATAAGTTATGCCTGATTTATATTTTACAGTCACATATAATTTTAAAAACTAAATATAATTATAAGTGTAATTTTACATTTGTTTTAAGTATATATATTCAATTATTTGTTTTACTTTCCAAAAAATTGGCCGAGATTACTCTAGAATTCGATATCATGACTAATTCTTTTGATTGTAAGTGTAATAACAACATCCGTTACAAATAGTAAATAAATAAAACTCTTTTCATTTGTTTGTCTCGTAAAAGTTAATCGCTGCATTTTAGCTTGTCTTGTAGTCATTCAGAAATTATGTAGTTTGACTTGGCTTCTTTCAGTATTTATCAAAGATGGACTTTCATTTATCACAATCTAATTGTTCATTTTGTTTAAAAGCTTGTTTATGAAATATTTACAACGTTAAATTCAATTATCTTAGCCACACAAAGACGAGTTTGTTATACTGTAAATATATATATATATATATATATATATATATATATAAAGTGTTGTCCGTGAGTGCGGGTCGAAGCCATTTTCCCACCTCTAACCATTCGCGTTTTATATCAACATATAATAGGTTTTTATAATTATCTACAAAAAAAGGTTCTTATAGTCGCGTCTATATTACTACCTATCTATGTTTTTTATAGTTGCCTCTAAATTCATTCTTTGAGATATGTGTATTTTTGGAATATATATTAGATGAAGAGTGAAAAAATATTTAAGTTATAACGGTTAATATTCTAACAAACATTTCATAGTTGGCAGGCTAAATAGCATTAAAATAATAATATACTGCAAAATATTGAATGGTAATTCCATTTAATTGAGTAAATAATAAGAATAAATAATTATTTTTTTGCTAGAATTTGTGGCCTAAGTATTTGAAACTTTACAAATTAGTATTTACAAAATTTGAAATCAGATTTAGGACTTTAATTATAAAATATGAAAAGTGAAATTTTATATATTGGTTATACACATATATTTAAAATGTTTACGATAAATATTTTTTTATAAAAATACTTGTATAATTTTTTTTCTCTTTTTGTATTATTTTTAAAGTTAAATTTTTAATTTATTTTCTTTTAAAGTATAAATAAGTCATTCTTATTTTTTTGCAGTTAAATTTCAAATTTCAAATATTTTTTTATCAACTATGCATATATTTTTCTAGTTTTAAATATTTTTTCATTTAAACTATAGTTTTATATTATATATATGTTTTTCCCATTGTAGAATATTAAATGCTGAATTCCTTTCTTACCCATCAAATTCAAAATTCA